CCAGGGCTGAGGAGAGGGGCAGGATCACCTCCCTCCACCTGCTGGCAACATTCTGCCTAATGCACCCCAGGATCCCATTGGCCTTCTTGGCCACAAGGGCACACTGCTGGCTCATGTTCAACTTGTTGTCCACCAGGACCCCCAGGTCCTTCTCTGCAGAGCTGCTTTCCAGCAGGTCAACCCCCAGCCTGTACTGGTGCATGGGATTATTCCTGCCTAGGTGCAGGACCCTGCACTTGCCTTTGTTGAATTTCATGAGGTTCCTCTCTGCCCAGCTCTCCAGCCTGTCCAGGTCCCTCTGAATGGCAGCACAGCCCTCTGGGGTATCAGCCACTCCTCCCAGTTTTGTTTCATCAGCAAACTTGCTGAGGGTGTACTCTGTCCCTTCCTCTAGGTTATCGACGAATAGATTGAACAAGACTGGACCCAGGACTGACCCCTGGGGGACACCACTAGCTACAGGCCTCCATCTTGACTCCGCACCACTGACCACAACCCTATGAGCTCGGCCATCCAGCCACTTCTCAATCCACCTCACCGTTCACTCATCTAGCCCACACTTCCTGAGTTTACCTACAAGGATGTGATGGGAGACAGTGTCAAAAGCCTGGCTGCTTTTGTGAAGTGAAGACTCAGCAATAAACAGACTGGGCCACTTCTAGCCAAGAAGAGGAAAAGCAAAAGAGGTCTTCACATTCTTGTTTAAGTACTTTGGTTGATCACAAGGAACTGTGTTTATTTTTGACAATCAGTTTCTCATTTAGACTTCTCTCATTCTTTAGCCAAAAAATCATGAACTGCACATAATCTGTATTATTGCCATAAATGACATGTATCATTCACTCAGTAAGTTTTAGGTTTAGAATTTTAAGTTAAATTGCTTTCATCTCTTACTGTGAGAGCCTAGTTTCTCTATAGCAAGTCCCACAAACCCTTGAGGTCTTTCCTCATGCCAGGCAAGTCAACAACTATCCTATGAGAAATGTAGTTGTATGCAAATGTATGGACCAAAACATAAATTAAAGATCAGCAATAGTGAGCAGAAGTGGAGTTCCTGAAAAATTCTCTCACTGGCAGATCAATGTTATTGCCTGGTAAAACTAGAAGACAGTTTCTTGTCTCAAATCTGACTGGTAGCAAATGACCTTTGAAACTTTAAGGTTGTGCGGCAAAGTCTTCCAAAAGGCTCTCTCTTTTTCCTCTGATTTTGATAAGAAAAGGAATTCCTATTTTAGTTATCATGAGTTGTAAAATTAAACAATGAGAGAAAAGAGAGTTATGAAATCAGAAAGGTGAAGATGAAAGTACCCCACTAAAATGTTTCAGCAAATCTCCCACAACTGCAAATTTCAATAATCATTTTTACAGCTCACAGATGTCTTAAACAATTGTACAGTTTGTAAATGTCCCGAAAAAATATTTTCAATTGCCACCTTTGCATGCTATTAACACACCCCTAAAAATCTAAGTCTCTTTCTGTATTAATGCTATTACCACAGCCTTTTGACAGGCAACATATATGACATAGCTGCAGTTTCTTCAATCTGAAATAGCTATGGATAAACTAGAGTACTAAAGTAGGCATTCTGAATCATTGCACATAACATGAAGAGGTCTATAGGAAAATTTAGCATTTTAGGGTGTGTACACTTATTTCTCAGTCTCTTAAAATATGCTCTACAAGGCTCTTAATTATAAAAGTGATGCTCAAGATAACACAGGGAAAGCCATCAAAACCAACAAAAGACACCTTACCTGCACCAGAACAGATGATATCTTGAGAATTCTTACACATTTCATTGCTTTTCTTCCGTGTAAGATTGCAAGTAGTTGGATACTGACAAGCTTCACCATACCAGCCTTCATCACATTTGCACTTCCCACAGTCACACTTCCCATGGCCTAGCAATGATGGAAAACAGTGTGTCAAGTCCTTTTTTCATTCAGAAAGTTTTATTTTCTAATCCAATTTTTAAAATAGATTCCATCAATTATAATTTTAAATGAATATCATTAACAGATTAACTTGCAGTCATTCATGTGCATTATAAATAGCCATGAATAGGTATCTTAAATACAAAGAGACAACTGAAATCTCCATGACTTTGAAATCTAATGTATGTCATTTTGATAGGTCTACATACAAATGCCTATTTTTAAAAGGAATACAGAACTAAAACATCCCGTATGAACAATGGGCTTTTTTATTACCTTCACCTCTTTCTCATTCTCATTTTTCTCCCCTGTTAACTATTATTCGCACAATAAAACTATAATTGGAGAGTTTCCTTTCACATTTTTGGCAAGCTATAGGCAAAAAACAGCTAGATACTGTGTCCTGAGGACCCATGAATTAGCTGTCATGGCATAAACCCTGCAAAGGGGTGTGGGGAGGGCCAGCTACACTTGCAAGCAATAACTCCTTCATGCAGCAGCGGTTGCAGCTCCCACCTCTACTGAAAGGCGCAAAATCCTTCTTCCTGCACTCTCCTCTGGCTATCAATCCCTCCAGCTTTCTCCCACCCACCTACACTTGGCTGCTGCAAGACTTAATTTTGTCTTTAAACGTTGACACAATACTGGCAACGTGGGTATATTTTTATCCTAATAGGACTATATTTACTTATGACTGCTTGCTAGGCTAATTGTGAAGTATCTTAAAGAACAAAGCCAACTGCTCAATCTAGTAGAAGATGGCATTCTAAGATTCTCTCAACTAGCTTATACATTGCGTAAAATCTGCAATATGTCTAATAGCATGAAGATTTATAATAGTGAGGAAAGTTCATGTTTTTAAAAACTATCTATCTAATTTTCTTTATAAATGCCCAAATATGCAGATGAATTGACAATTTGCACTATTTATGTTGCACGTTAAGCATCATGTTCCAGATTCAACTTTAGGTGCAAATTAGTATCACTTAATTCTTCAGCATTCCTTTACAATTTTAGGTAGTAAATGTGCAAACATTCGTAAGACTTTTAATCTAGAATATTCAATTTTAAAATAAATACCATTTGAATGTATACCCAATTGACAGAAGATTCTTTTCCAATCACTATGCCTCAAAAATAGAAACTTAACAGAGGCTAATTTAAATGCATCTATTGCCTGAAGGTAGAATCAACTGCCTGAAAATAAAAACCCAGTCTGCTACCAGTAATAATACCAGTAAAAATAAAAAGTTTTAAAGAGAAAGAGTAGTATCTTTTTGTTGATTAAGAAAATTTTCTTTGCCTTCCAAGATGGTCCTAAGACAAGATACAATTCAATAGTTCAAAAAACATAGTTTAGAAACACAAGAGAGTTTCACATTAGTTCTTGTTTTAAAACAGGAGCTGTCGCCTTCTTAAAATTTGCTGAATGACTCTCCAGTGGTAAAGGAGAAGAAAAAGAGTGGGACACAAAATATTTAATTGAAAAGCTACTATTGCAAGCAGTCTGCTTCACTTATAGTTAATGGTGTAAGCCATTCTGGAAAATGAAGGAAAGTCCTAGAGAGCTTTAAAAAAATCAAAGACAAAACACAAACATCTCCCTATACTTTCCTTCTTTCGAAGCAATACTTATCATAATAACTTTGACTTTTCCATGTTAGGCACTCTTCTGATTTAACAGTTTGATGTCTGCTGATGAAGAAAAGATGCTCTAATAAAAGCAGGAGGACAGATTTTCCTGTTCCAATGCCTAAATGACAGAGCAATTCAGAAGCCCCTGCTGGTTCATTCTTGTTCACCAGCAGCACTAACATCTCTCTGTTAGAGATGCTCTAATCTAAATTTATTGGTGCATAAAGAAAATAATAATTTCACTTAAAATTAATACAGCTTAATTCAAGAAAATTAGGAAAAGACTTCCATGAGGGTAGTCATGCAGAGCAGTTTTGGGCTTTATTTAACAAGAAAAATATATAAAACTGAAATCAATGAAATTATACTGGGAGAAATAATGGAATATCTCCTGCATGCAATCAAAAACAACCACAAGTAATTTATATAATATGAATTTGTAAGATTGTCTTTATGACAATCTGCCCTTAAAATATCCTAATTTTGCCAACTGGATAGTTTTTCAAGTTGTAAAGCAAAGGCAACATTTTGTCCTTTTTCACTGGGAGATATTCCTAGCATAGGAAATTCAAAAATTTGGGTGAGAGGATAATATTAAATTGTAGAAGGTAAAGCTACCTTCAGTAGCTTCTATAACTCCCGGCATCTTTCTTGTCATGTATACAATGCTGTAGATCTGCAAGTCAGTGGATACAGAAGCCCTCTTCTTGCTTACTTTGCATATTCAAATGCACCAACCACATGGTCCTTCCTCAGGGCAAAAACAGGGGTGTGATGGATGATAAATTAAGTATGTGATAGACTGTAAGAGATTTAGAAAGGGCATCAAAGGTGTCCAGCTGGTTTCAGATCACTTTCAAAGAAGTCTGTCTGAGATCCTTTTCATTGGATATAGAACTTTGGATTATTTAGAAAGCAAATAATATTATGAAACAGTAAATAAGAAGCAAATAGCACTATGAAAGCTATGATGTGATATTTTAACTTCCCAGAATATAAATCCTATTATTAAGCATAGGAGCCAGATGTCTGAGGATGCAAAACACAATACCAGAAAACTGAGCTACAAAACCTTATTAAATAGTTGGTCAAGAAAAACATGTCTCAAAGTCAGTGATAACACATTAGTTCATTTTTTTTAAATGGCTGTACCATAAATAAGTTGCTAAACATAAATAAATTAGAATTTCACTTTAAAAATTCAGAAAATAGTGGAAATGGTGAAGACTCAAGGAAGGATTGGAATCCCTCTAAGAAAAAGGTTCTGGCTGTAGGCTGTGAGAAATTTGCAGCTTCAAATATGGAGAAAAGCTTTTTTAACAAAGGGCTTCGTTTCTAACTAGCTGAGCAATCACCTCAGAGAATATATCTAGAAATATACACAAAGCTTATATGCAAAGAGCTTTTGGGGTGGAAAATGAGGCTAATATGCAAAGAAAGTTGTCAGATGTCAGAAAATATATGGAGAAAGTGAAAATGGAAAATGTTAGGCAGGGTCAGATCTTGCAAAAATTACAAGTACTAAAATGTACTTTCACCATCCAAATAAAAAGAAAACATAAAAACAGTGGCTTCACTGAGCAGCAAAGAGAAGTTAAGATTAAAGATAATTTACAGAGTCCAAAGCAAAATTAATATGGGGATGCTGGCTACAGTAGCAAATGTAGTGTGGCTAATGATAGAGACTACAGAAATGAAAATTACTCATCTAAGATAAGAACAAAACAAAGACATAAAACTGTTTTTAAGGAGGTTTCTAGACCAGGAGGGCAGGACCCAATAATCTCCAACCCAGAGTACTTAAAATACTTTCACATGAAAAAAAAACCAATCTAATAGCAAAGACTTTTAATGAATCTATCAGGCTGGCAACGGAATGTCTCGAAAATGGAAAACTTAACACTTTTTTTCTTTTAAGAAAAAGGGATTTATATGATCTGGGCAACTAAAAAGAAGCAGCTCTGACCTCACAAGCTATGCAAGGATTTGAAACAAATTGTGGAGGAGTGTACAACTAAAGACACTGAGGTAATAAAAAATGGAATAAAATGAATAATGACTTTATCCCAAAATAGATGATGATTATGCCAAATTAACCTGGCATTTCTTTTTATTAAGATAATTAATATTTTAGGAAAGGGAACACAGGAAATTTAGCTGATATGGATGTAAGCATGGATACAGTGCCACTTAGGAAAAATAAATTATTCTGGATGAGGTGCACTAGAAATGCAAAACAATCTCAACCTGACTCAAGGGAAGTAAGCAATATTAGGTCTAAAAGGGATATCAGTAGGATGGAAAAAGATTACTGGTGATCAGCTTTTTGGATTAAACTTGTATATTAATGATGGTAGTACAAAAATTTAGAATATACTAAAAACATTTGCCAATGACAGAAAACGGAAAAGCCTCAGTACAAACATAAAGAGCGAAAATCATATAGAAGTAACTGAACCGACAGCCTGAAGGTCTGAAGTAATCAAAATGGATTGAAACTAGCAGTTTGTAGTGCAAGGTCACATACCAGAAACTAGTAAAGGATGCTAAAGGCTAAGGCCTCACCACTGGAAACAAGAAGAAGGGAGTGACTACAGAACCATGTAAGCTGTAGAAAGACTATGTGACATGAGCTGAAAGGGTCCCCTGATGTACTCTCTGAAGTTTTATCCATAGGCATACAAAGTATTAGCAAAGTCTCATCTGAAATGCTACACATAATGTGTGTAAAATGAAAGTGTAAATTTATGCTGGAAAATACCATAAAGTCTCTAATCTTTAGAAGAATGAGTGCCATTTTCCAAGGAAGATAGTGGTCAAATTTTAGCCACTTGCAAGGTTGCAATAGGCTAAGAGTTAAAATATCTCAGCTAAAGTACAGTAATTTAAACCACATTCATTTAGTTGGTATCGCACATTTTTGTCTTCAGACTCCCAATATCATTCTAAGTGCATTTATGAAAAAAAAAAATGTTTTCCTACGTAGGAAAACATAGGGTCCAAAAACAAAGAAGCAAGGGTAAAATCTCTGACAAAAGTTCCAAACCTAGATCTGACCCATTCGAACTGTATGTATCTGGGACACCAAACTGGGAACCTGATCTCTCTAGGATCCTGCTGTAATACATCATGATAGACACCTCTGCGGAGTGACCCAGATGCGGAGTATAGCTGTGTGGGCTATACAGTCCTTAGAGGATGCCATCTTTCTTCATTAACCCCTGGCAAGCATACAATGTTGAACAGGATACACAAAGGTAAGAGGTTTGACTTCAGAGTTTGGTACATCACTAGACATGTATGCATGTAAATAAGCATTGGTTCATTTGTCT